TATGTGTTCACTGCTATTTTCAATTTAAAAAGGTCTGATTGGTAGGGCTGGGTTTTGATACAAATTTCACGATTCGATTCACATTCACAAGCTTGCAATTCGATTCGATTACCGATTAAATTTGATTCAATATGGATTATTTTGGATATCATGTACAGTACATGCCAAGTTTTCTCAAGAGAAAACCTTGCTCTCAATGCTGTTAAATATACATGAGTCAGTTGGTACTGCATTATTATAATAGCCTATTGAAGATTTAAATAAACTGATTCGAATACAACCACTTAAATTAAGACTTGGAAAAAAAAAAACTAACACCAGCTTCTCTATTCTATATGTTCCTTTTCTTTTTATTTATTATTTAATAAATAAAAAAAACCTTGCTATGTGTACTACGTTAAGCTAACGGAGACTTGTCATCGCACTTGCGTATCATTGCTCTTTTGTTGGTTTTGATTGCTTCTATTGTCCTCATTTGTAAGTCGCTTTGGATAAAAGCGTCTGCTAAATGCAATGTAATGTAAATTACACTCAATTAAGTTTTTTATCATTATAAAGTAACAATTACACAATAATATTTCTACTCCACTTTGTTTTTTTTATATAAACATTTAAATGGTGACTGTCATAAAAACTTGACGGATTTATTTAAACAAATTAAACATTGAAGAACAGAAATTCTATTATAAAACGGAGCGTTCCGGTGCTTGATTCTGATTGGCTGAGCCACGTTCGAAGCTGTTGTAAATTACTCTACAAACACACACCTTTGTTTACGTTTGTGTGTTGCTCTGCAACCACTTTGTTGCAACCACAACTGATTCTGAGGAACTATATTGTTTGGTGGAAGAATAGTTTTTATCATTATCATTACACTTTATCTGCTCTGCTTTATTTTGTGAAACCGTACTGCGTATATGGAATAACCGTTTTACAAAAGCAATAAGCCCCATGAAGCCGTGGTTTACAGTGAATTTATAACAGCTAAGGGTGTTTTAGGCACTTTGCTTCACATCATACCTAACAACGCACTTTAGCGGTTATAAATTCACTGTAAACCACGGCTTCACGGGGCTTATTGCTTTAATGAATACATTATATGGTGCATATATTTAGGGAAAAAATACTTTTTTATAGCTGACTAACGAGTTGGTCACCGAATATGTTTTTTTTCTGAGGTGAATGTGACGTTACGTGATATTGTTTACAAGCTGTTACATTGAGGTCTTTGCGCGGTTAAAATTCAATTAAATTCAAGTTTATTTGTATAGAGCTTTTCACAATAACAATCGTTTCAAAGCAGCTTTACAGAAAATATTACGTTTCTACATTACATTTAGGAGTAGGTTATTAGTGGTGACTACGGCAAAAATGTACAGTAAGAATAATGTGGTTAGTTACAAATGACACGTAATCAAACAGACGGTGAACACGATTAACTGTTATGATTAAATGTTGCGATTAAGCAAAATTTGGTAGTATTATATGTTGTTCAGGGTTAGCGTCATCTGAGATCTTCTGAGGGGTTGGCATCATCTCTTCTCAGGTCATCTCAGATTTTCATAAGGTTTGGATCCAGACTGAAGCTTGTGTAATTACTAGAAACAGAGAAGCAGATAGAGACTAAATTAGCATAGCTGCTGTTCCAACCAAGCAAAGAAAACCACCGTTAAAACACCGATTGAGCGAATACTGTAGCTACTCTGTAATACTGTTGTCCTCTTTCTTGTAACTTACCTTCAGATGTTTATTTATGTTTATTTCATGCTGAATCTGGTATTAAAGCAGAAGTTATGATCACTTCCCACTGCCGCTTAACCGCACAAGAACGGCATCTATTGTTTGAATACTGAAATACAATGGACAGAATTTGGAATCTGAGACTTTTTCATATCAACAGTAGAAGTAGTTTTTACCCAGCCCTACTAATTGGTTTGGATGGCTAAAAAACAGGATATAAGTTTCGGCTTGTTCACCAGAGTCAAGAGCACGTTTACATGCACACCAGTAAGCTGATAACTCACAAATATCAGCTTGTTAAAATAACCAGTTTTCCCCGTTTACATGCACATCAGTAACCTGACAACACAAGTAGCTGCGTTTACGTGACTTCAGTAATAAATCCGGTTATTTACCTGTAGTGATGTCGAAATATAATAATTTGCGTATATCTAACATATTCCATATTTTTGTCATTTGTGATGTTAAATAAAGCTTGCAACATGTCAGCATGAAACTTAGCCTACAGTTATAAATACAGCATTTTGACTGAACCACTTCTACTTCTGCTGCACGAGAACACATTTTTATCATTTTCTGAGTCATGAAAGAGTCTGCTTTTGTGATATTTCCTCCTTTCTTTACTGCAAGATGTTTGCTCTGTCTAGATGCACTTAAATCTGCACTAACGATACTCTCCTGTCATGTATCACACATGCGCACTTCAATAAGCCGACAGAAAGTGGGTTATTACGTTTACATGCCACGCAAAATCGGAGTAAGAGGCAAAAAACTACCTGTGTCGACCCATTTATGCTGCGTTCAAGTCCTTCTGGGACGTTCGTACTTACAAGTTGACAAGTCGTAATTACGACGTTAGGTGCGTTCAAGTCCGTTTAGTCGGCACAAGATGGCGATGTACCTTCTTTTAATAAATTACAAGAAAATACAACCGGGTCTGTTAACTCTGCTTATAGAAAATGAAGAGCAAATAATTGGCATCAGGTGTGTTTTGCGTTTTTAATGTTTTTTTTAGACCTGGATCCCAGTATAACTGATTTTCAGCATCCAACAAACGCTAAAATACAGAGATTAAAAAAAGCTGTTAGCTAAATGCAACGTGGCAAATCGAAAGGTTTTTCACCTATAGGTGCAAAAATGATAGCATTTTTTTTACTTTTATTTCATTAACTAGCTTCGTAACAAGAACATGACCAATTTAAGTTTATAGGACAACTAAACTATCAATTTAAAAAAAATTTACAATCAACTACAGACGTTGCATCCATCGATTCCGCCATGTTTCTCATTGACACGCTCCAAACTCGGGGCTTAAAGAAAATTGAGTTTCCCACTCGTAATAACGACTTTGTGGTGGCGTTCATGTGCGTTCAACTCGTAAATACGATCTATCTGACATGACTTGAACGCACCATTACTCCGATAAAAGAAAACGGGTTACCGCGTTTACATGACCACATGCGTTTTCGATTTATTAAGCATAATCGGCTTTAGAACGTGCATGTAAACGCACTCAAATGTCTTTTACTCAAGGGTAGTTTCCCAATTAGGGGAGCTCTTCTGTTCCTCTAGTATGCTTTCCTAGTATGTTTTTCAAGACAAAATGCTTGAAAAATATACATTCTGATGGTTCCATTTGCCAGCATACAGACGTTTTAACTCAAGTTAAAAGTCAATTGACCACACGCAAACTTGTTAACTTATTTAACCTAACTGAAGAATCACTCCTATTCAAGAATGATCACTGATGGCTGTTTCCTCCTGCAGGTCCAGTTTGTCCTGACCATGTTCCAGACATCTTGTGCTGTGGTTTGGCCATGTGCTTTCCCAATGGGCTGGCTGTATTTCCAGATCACTTATATGATCACTCTCATCTTACTCTTCTCAAACTTCTACATGAAGGTAAACAAGCATCAAGAATGTTATTGTACCAAAGTATGGCTTGAAAAATAGCTCAAAATGTTCCCGTGCTTTACTCCACAGACCTATAAGAGACACGCGGGATCTCGTAAGACCGATTACTCGAACGGATCAATAAACGGTCACACTAATGGGGTAACATCCAATGAGAAGGTGAAATACAGGAAGCCGCGCGCAGATTGACGACACTTCATCCGCTTACAGTCCTGTTATTAATATCAGTGCAGTAGAGGAGCTTCATGTATGTCTATCCACTTATCACGCTACAGAGACTCCTGACATTTTTGCACACTGCAACCTCACGTTATTCATATTGAATCCAAAAACTAAGAAAAGAGAGCCTTGAGTATTTGTTGTTTTTCATATGAAATTTTTCTTGAAATACAAAGATGGCTAACATTAAAACTGTACTAACTTGCACTGTTGCACACTAAGCTTGTTTGTAGACATAAAGAAGAATGTATTAGAAGAAATTGACGAGCATACAGGAGAATGTCACACTTAGGAGCTGAATTAAACACAGTAGTAGCTTACACAGTGTTTATTTATAGCACAGGCAGATAATCTTACAGTCAATAGAAGATGATATCTAAAAGTCATAATACCTTGAGAAATACGGAGAAAATGGAAGCTATGTAGTTTTGTGGACCAATCGAGCAAGTTTAGTGAATTAATGAATGTTTACAAAAGAAAGTGGACTGTTTATTTTGTTAACATGGATTTAGGATAATTTCTCCGTTGATAAAAACATCATATGCTGGTTTTTTCAACAGGGTTGTTGTAGCGCTGTAGCTGAATCTCATGAAAACACGTCCAGGTTATATTTCTCCCCAACTTAAGACCTTTTTTTTGTATTTTTCATTGCTCCCATTAGTTTTTCTTTTCTTACAGTATTACATGAAAAACTTACTGTACTACAACATCATGATGTGTAGATACTTTACAGTTTATATGATGTATAATTACGGCAATGAGAATAAGGTTCTTTTCCACCCAAATCTCCAATTTAATTAACGTAATGTTACAAGTTTAATAGTTGCAAAAAAACCTAAGCAAATAATTTTGTTATATTTTGATTTGTTGGTGAGATATGAGCCAGGGTTTAGTATTCACCCAAATAGCCTTGTGCATGCATTGATAAATTGTAAAACGGATCACAAATAATACTGTATTGTCTGTTGTATATGAAACTGTTGGCACAGATCGTACTCCTCCACGGTATCTCCAGCCTGCAGATGCCAGTTTAATATCTCATCAGTTCTGTTCTGTTTACATGGCTAGCCTTGTATGAACCCTTGCATGCAAAAAAGAAGCAGTGAATAGCTTCTGGGTTTTTTTTCCGGTGTCAAAAATGTCACAACGAATCCAGCACATCTCTTTCACTTTTAACAAAACAATGAACAATGGCTTACACTGTAATTACAAAGCACATGTATAACTAACACTTTCCCTTTCCTTTCTGAGACCTTGAAAATGCTGCATTTCAGGCAAAAAAAGAGCCACTTAAAGCATGAAATCAGTATCCAGTGTGTTTCAAACTCATTCTTTGTGCCAGCATTCCAGATCTTGTCAAGCGACATTAATTTTGCCCTCGTGTTTGAACAGACTTTTTCCTTAATCTAGCCTGCTGTTAAAGTGTCATTTACGTGTGTTAAACCATTAAGCAAAGAACTACAGGAAAACTGCTACTACTGTAACACTAAACAGTTCCAGTTCTTCATATGATATAATAATCAAGCCATTCTCTCTGTTAGTATTCTATTTAGGATAAGTAATGATATCTTGCATTACTGTAATACCTCCCCGGCAAATGATACAATGCTGTTAATTCATGCTTTCAGTGCAGAAATATAGACCAATGTACAAGATACCATTTGCTAATAGCACAGTAGTATCACAGAAGTACTGATACAAGAAGTAGGCCGTTAACATCAGACCCAATAAAGTGATTTTTATTTGGAAATAAATCATGTGTCAGTGTTTATTTACTTGTTATTTTATATACTGGCTTTTAACTGAATTCTACAATAATAAATCGAGTTTCCGCACGTTTGCAGAAGATGAAATAAGAGCTAAGCACCTAACCCTAACTTTTCAGACTTCGAAATCACAAATTTAAACTTCCCTAACCATGGCCATGACAAACTAGGACAAATAATCATATAATAACATAAAGAAAGGAAAGAGAATATTATCATAGCTTTATATTCTCTTTGATATCGTCACAGATACAATTCCCCTTGAACTAAATCCCCTTCAGTCCCCAAATCTCTGAGCATGTTATAGTTGGATTATATCTGTCCTCTTTATCAAATTCTAGACCTGATTTCTGAAGGGTGCTTGGTTCAAAGACGTTCAAACTGCAGGGTCCAGCCGAGAAAAACTGAAAATGATGTTAGAAAATCCGTCTACAACACCCTTCCCTTATAATTAATTACAGAATAGAACAGAACAATCAACAAGAACAACTGTTGAGAAGAGAGGGGCTGAAATGGTGACAGCAGTCATACAGGAAACATTCTGATGAAACTACAAATACCAATATTTCTTCAATTTGACTTCGGGTATTATACAACGCAATTTACACCCGCAAAAGAAAAGAGAGCAAAACACAATATAGCTCATTTATTTGGGTGTTCCAGTTGTCAGAAGGCATATTCCAAAAACAAAGTGAACATTCATCACAGTCGACTTCTTACAGACAATCTTATATATATTTTGTAGCTTTATCTTTACAACATGAGCAAGACAGATCTTACACTATCATGAAAACAAAACATAATGCTTTGAGCTGCAGTTAAGACTGTAGGAATCTGAAAACGTCACAGCGTTCTTGTACATTCAAAAGAAAGAGCCTGGGGCTGGAAGCAGTAGGGAGAGCAGATGGATGGAGGGGTAAACCTTGAGGGGTCGAGTCGTGACTGCATGCATGGCTTGGGTCGTCCTACAGTGGATGCTCTGAAAAGGCTGTGTAGCTCTTCACTCGTGCAAAAAGCAGAGGCGTGTACATTTTGTCTACATCAAATGCAGTGACAACTGTCTCTCCAGTCGATCTGCAGGGAAGAGAAGAAAAGAGTTTGGAAATGTACAAAATCTCCCAGCATGCTGAAGTCGCACAGACGATCAGGGCTTGATCTACTGATATTTCCTACTGACACACCACAGCAAAAGATAGAAGTAACTGACTTAAAACCATTTGTTTGTAGGTGAAAACACTAGTGGCCTAAGACTTAAATGCTCAATTTCTGAAGGATCAGCTGAGAACAAAACTATGGTGGTCACACAGATCACATTACTCATATCTGCTGCCTCCGTTCAGTTAAGTTCAGCTTATGCATAATTGTATCCATTACTTCCTGCGTATTTTTTTGTCATTAAAAAGATTTTACAAATGAAGACTCCACTTGTTTATTCTGACTACTTTTATGATTAGTTTTTGTTGCTTTTGTGTCATGTTGCAGCCTGACAGTCCTCATTTGCCTTCATCATAAGGTGAATATATTTCAAAACACTGAAAAACTACATGCGTAAAGGTTTGGAATGATGCTGAGTAAAAGTTCTTTATGGAATTTTAGAATAGACTAAATCCATTAAGCATCATTATAAAACGGAGCGTTCCGGTGCTTGATTCTGATTGGTTGAGCCAAGTTCAAAGCTGTTGTAAATTACTCTACAAACACACACCTTTGTTTACGTTTGTGTGTTGGAACCACAACTGTTTCTGAGGAACTACATTGTTTGGCTGAAGAAGAATGTTTTTATTTACATCATTACACTTTATTTGCTGTTTTATTCTGTGAAACCTTACTACGTATATGGAATAACCGTTTTATAAAAGCAATAAGCCCAGTGAAGCCGTGGTTTACAGTGAATTTATAACAGCTAAGGGGCATTGTTAAGCAGGACAACGCCCCTTAGCTGCTATAAATTCACTGTAAACCATGGCTTCACAGGGCTTATTGCTTTAGTATCTCCTTACAGGTGATGTGCTAATGCATCCTCGATGACTGTGTGAACAGTGAACAGATGTCTAGGAGAAGGCAGATTGGTGAGATACCTGTAGGTGATGCGGCAGGAATGGTGGATCCACACCAGCTTGTTGAAGCGCTGCCGCCCCCCTGAGGACAGCTGCAGTCCTACATGGAAGGCGCGCTCTGCTTCAGGGGCTGGGCTCCGCCTGCAGAACCGGCTCCTCTGGTACTCTGCCACCTTCTGCTGAAAGAGGACAACTGGTAAAACAGCAAAGAAATAGAACAGCGCTATTAAAGGAAAGGGGCAATAAACTTGCACAGGCAAACCCACCTCTTCTTTTCTCTTGGAGACAACAACGTAAACTTTGGTTTGATTGTCCGTATCCTGGGACAGCCGGTAATGGCCAAACATGATGGAATCCACCCTGTGGAAATTGAAGATCGTGAATGACTTTAAGATGGCACATGGCCTAGAAATGTGCTTTTTAGCCAAGTCGAGTTCACGTGACGCGTACCTGGAGTTCTTGCTGCGCAGCCTTGGGACGGTGACCAAAGGGTCCTCAGGTGTGGTCAACATCATCACCTGACCGTCAGGGAAGAAGCGCAAGTACCTAACAGATCAGGTCCCGTCAAAGCCTGATAAACACTGAGCAAAACTGATTCTGTTCAAGGGACACTCCACTCAAAAATGAAAAAAAAAAAAAATTCTGCCCTCATTTACTGCTGTTTAGAAAAATTCAGAGAAATGTCTCACTGTTTCCCCCCGCCCCCCCCCATACAATGGAAATCAATGGGATCCAATGCTGTTTGGTTTCCCACTTATCTTCTTTTGTGTGTCTGCAGGAGAAATCACCTCTGTCCAGCCAGTTTTACAACGAACTGAAAATAATATTATACATCCCATAATATAAAAGGTCTTTAACGTTGTTTTGCACCACTGCTTCTGTTAATTCAACTAAAATCCAAAAAATCGCTGCGAGTTTGAATGCGTAACGTGTACAGTTCATGCTGTTTTCACAAAAATATTTTCTGTCAAATAAAAACTCGATGGTTAAACTACAGGTGAAGAAATGAATACAAATATTGTAATTTTACTATAAAACAAATCCACAAGTATTCATTTTAGATTTGCATTTATTTTATAGTGCAGTTGTATTGCAATAGCACTATTACTGTCTTATGGATAATAATGATCATACTTTAATATCGAACAAACACTATCAACAACTAAACGAGGTTTGAGTTCTTTAAAATCCCAGGTACATGCCAAGACTTTTTTACTCTATCCAATTTGGTCACTGAAAATGGGTTGGGACGCTTCATTCTGATTCATGCATTTGATTTTCAAATCTAAACATTTTCATGACTCGGGACAATCCAGTCTAATAAAATCCTGTGGGAAACACTGGAAATGCATACAGGTTTGGAACCACATGATGATGAGTAAATACTGACAGAATTGTCTTTTTCGAGTGGAGTATCCTTTAAAGCCCCAAGCTCACCTGTAGTACTCCACCTGGTGCCAAGCCCTGTAGAAGCCATCGAGAGACTCTTCCCCCTGACGGATGTAAGATGTTTTACTGATGTAAACACCTGCACAAAACCACGGACCTTTAGTAAACACTGTACATGCAGCACGCGTTCAAGAAGACATACACAAACGCACGCGTTTACCATCAAAGCGTACACGTGGCTTTTCCAAAAACATCTCTCTCCAGGATGAAAATGGCAGCATTTTGGTGCAGCTCCGTCCCCACACCCTCAAACAGGCAGACCGCCAAATCTCAGGGTCCCTGAAACAAGCCACCCACACAAATACATTTTTAATAGAGAAAGTCTGAGTGCTGTTCTTGAGCACAAGCTGCTATAATGCAAGTGGGGAAGTGTGTGAGCCCACCTGGCACAGATATAGAAACCCCTGCAAACCAGAGAAAGCTGCTCTAGGGCTCGAAGGTCCAGGTCACATGACACCACCCAGCGGAAGATATACATGAGCACCTCGAAGGGCAAAGCTGTGGACGTGAAAAAGGGGCTTTCAGGGCAACGGGTAAACTCAAGAAATCCACACAGACTATCTCCAGTGTGAGGATTACCTGAGATGTGCAGCTGAGTCGTGTCGGTCTCAGGCTCACACAGCTTCATGGTGCCGTCACACAGAGTCAGCTGCTGCTGGAAGTACGTCAGTAGATCGTCTATCTTCCGATCGTTCTCGTTGTCCTCCAAGCTAACGAGAGGGACGATCAAAAATTCACATCATCATGCAATCAAACTTCAAATGGCAAACCAAAAAACAAAACCAAAAAAGAAATAAGAACTTGTAAAGTATTTTGCATGTAGAAAATAAAGCTTATCCAAAATGCCGCTGCAAGATTAATCTTTAACGAGCCGAAAAGAACACGTCACACCTCTGTTCATCAATTTGAGGCATTAAATTAAGGCATAAATTCAAGGCATTAATGTTTGCCTACAAAACCACCACTGGCTCTGCACCCATTTACCTAAATTCATTACTTCAGAGTTATGTGCCCTCTAGAAGCTTGCGTTCTGCAAGTGAACGGTGCATTATTGTGCCATCTAAAAGAGGCACAAAATCACTTTCACAGACTTTCTCACTAACTGTTCCCTCCTGGTGGAATGACCTGCCCAACTCAATCTGAGCAGCTGAGTAGTTAACCATCTTCAAGAAACGACTAAAAACACATCTGTTCCACCTTTATTTGACCCTCTAACTCTAACACTTTCTATTCTATTTTAATTCTACTTTATCTATATTTATCTTCTTTTTTTATTTAAACAAACACTAGCTTTCTATTTTTTCTATTCTATCTACTTGTTTTTCTTTGTATGTGTGTGTGTATAATATAATATATACAGCTTGCTACGTGTACTGCGTTAGGCTAACCGAGACTTGTCATTTGCACTTATATATTGTTGCTCTTTTGCTAGTTTTGACTGCTTTTATTGTCCTAATTTGTAAGTCGCTTTGTATAAAAGCGTCTGTTAAATGTCTAAATATAAATATATATATATATATATATATACTGCCGTTCAAAAGTTTGGGATCAGTAAGACTTGTAATGTTTTTTAAAGAAGTCTCTTATGCTCATCAAGGCTGCATTTATTTGATCAAAAATACAGGAAACATTTTAATATTGTGAAATATTATGATGTAAAATAAAATTTTTCTTTTTTTAATATACATAAAAATATAATTTATTTCTGTGATGCAAAGCTGTATTTTCAGCATCATTACTCCAGTCTTCAGTGTCACATGAAGGTTTTTTTTTTGGAACCCTATGGTACTTTTTTTTCTAAGATTCTTTGATGAATAAAAAGTTAAAAAGAAGAGCATTTATTTAAAATAGAAAATTTTTCTTACAATATACACTACAGTTCAAAGGTTTGGGGTCAGTATTTGTATTCTTTCTTTTTTTGAAAGAAATTAAAACTTTTATTCAGCAAGGATGTGTTAAATTGTTAAGAAGTGATAGCAAAGATTTATATTGCTAGAAAAGATTTATATTTTGAATAAATGCTGTTCTCTAACTTTTTATTCATCAAAGAATCCTGAAAAAAGTATCGCAGTTTCCCAAATAATATTTGGCAGCACAACTGTTGCCAACATTGATAATTCTAATAATAAATCAGCATATTAGAATGATTTATGAAGGATCATGTGACACTTTATACTGGAGTAATTGCTGATGAAAACACAGCTTTGCATCACAGAAATAAATTATATTTTAAAGGATATTAAAATAGAAACCATTATTTTATATTGTAATAACAATTTGCAAGATTACGTTTTTTTTCTGTATTTTTGCTCAAATAAATGCAGCCTTGATGAGCATAAGAGACTTCTTTAAAAAACATTACAAGTCTTGCTGATCCCAAACATTTGAATGGCAGTGTATATAT